TGGTATTTTTATACTATGGAGTATACATTAGAATTTAGGTAGCTACAGGTTGAAGCATGGCTGTGACAAACAATTTACAAGATATTAGTAGGGTGCTGTTACCTAAATGCACATTGGGAAGAAGCACAAAACAGAGTCAAGTGACATTTCAGGCATTTCAGTCCCAGGTCACGTCTTGAGAAAATTGCTGAAATAATGGAGGGGGCATTTTTCAAGCAGAGCTGCAGCTCCAACAGCTATGTTTACTTTAACGCTCCACTAGTGACTTCTGATAGGTTGTCATGACCTCTTTTCACTGTTGCATGTAGGATGTTGCAACAGTGATATGTACATACCCTTCTTGTGAAAAAGATGAGAATAAACACAGCATACATCTTTCAGGAAAGATGAATGGACAGTGGTTTGTCCATTTTAACCATGGGTAAATGTAGTTTATAAACACTTTGGATTTCATTTCCCTTGAGGAAGAACACCTATCGTCTTTCAACCCAAGCAAATAGAATGCTGAACTTGAAAAATATGAGTGATAAATTTGTGTAAAATGATCTCTTACAGAGCCTTGCCTGAAGACCAAAATGGATAGTTCCATAGGTCAAAGGATTCTACTTTGGCCCCTGACCCTTTGGTCACATGTGGCTTGTAGTTTTGGAAGGTTAATACCCAGAACTCAGTACTTTCAGCTGATTTTTTTTTTATTTAGCCAACCACAGAAGAGTTGAAAAGATATAGAATTTGCTCCTGTTTTTAATTTTCTTTATAATTGGTAATTAGGTAAATTAACTTGGCTAAATCTTCAGTTTTAGCAAGGTCTCTTCTGGGGTCAAAAGTACATTCTGCTTTTGGTCAGGCATTTAAAAAAATATATCTAGTGTAAAATATTCTTGATAAGTACATTTCTATTCTGGTTTAATTTCTTTAGCAAGAGTTCCTCTCTGTGTTTGGCACCACCTCTTTGTTTTAGACCTCTCTGACCTAAGCCATCATTTGTTGATTGAATGATAAATGAACTATTACTTATTAGTAAGTGCATCTCTAGACTTCAAAGTAAAGAAGGCCTGGAGGCCTATATATTTTGTTTCAATCACAGCAAGTACTTGTGCTGAATAAAATGCTATATCTACCTATAAAATTTTGAGGATTTCTGATTAAGATCCTATGGTTATACCATATGAACACTGATCTGAAAATGAAACTACAGTTATAGCTATAAAAAAGAATAGAAAAATGCAATGAGATAAATTAAAGAGATAAAGCTTACTTTTACCAGTATCTGTCCTCTTTATTACTTTCTTGGTCAAATAACAGTTAATTTACAACTTCATGTAGGCTTTGTCTCTTGAAATGTTGGATATTGGAATTGATTTGGGTAAATCAGTATGAGAGATGCTAAAAGTTTTATTTATTTAGTTGTACAGTGTTAGATAATCAGTTTGATCATTCTATCTTGTTAAAGATAACAAAAAACTACATGTATATTTGAAATGACCTAACTTTTCATCTTGTGAGCAACTTAGCATGCTTAAGGAATAATTAAATATAAAAGGAATACTTTAATATAAAATGTTTAAGGTTGTAAGTATTAGAATACTTAGAATGCCCCTTGTTAGAATGGCAATGCAAAGTTCTTTTATGATATTGAATTGATGCCAGATTTTTTACAGTAGTTTTGAAAAACTTTATGAGTGCATTTGTTAAAGGTCAAAATAGGATCTTTTTTTCTCTTCTTTCTGTGTGTACTAATTGAGTTACTGGGAATAGAAAGAATTTATTTTTAAAACGGTATTCTGATTTTTAAAAAGATATAAATTAATATTATTCTACCTTAAGTGGGTAAATTTAACTACTGGTGTTTTCTGCTTTAACTCTCTGACTTCCATATCTTAAGGTTGACATGGCAAAAATCTTTGTAGTTTTATTATGTAAGGGGACTTGTTTGACAGTGTTTGTATGTGACAGAGAGAAGAAAAAGATGAAATTTTACTGTATATCTATGATTAGAGCACATAAATGGATAGTTATCTTTGTTACTTAGCTTTTTCCTACTCATTATAATATGGTTATGAATGGTCTTTGTGAATATTGCATTAATTAATTTATCAGAAAATTTTTAATTGAAAAATGTAAGATTTTATGGAATGGTAATTAAATTTTCAACAAAGACATTAAAATTAGCTTTCATTTCTATGGAAAATGTTCCTGAATATTTGTTACCTTAATTAAATTGACAGTATGAAATATCTAAAGGTTAAAATATTTTCTAAATAATTCATTTGTTTAAAGAGAAACATTCATTGTTAAAATAAAAATAATAAAAAATTATTTAATTGATTTGTATAGTGGTGATTTTAAAATAGAATCATTTTTCATCTCTGGGTGCCTCAGTGAAAATTGACATTGTGTCTTTTTAAAATTGGACAAATGAGTCATGTAATTTTCAGTTACATAATCAATAACTTAGACAAATACTACTTTGATGATTTATGTGTGTCTGTTTTATACTTATTTAGATGGGACACATCAAATTTCAGAATCCATTTAAAATAAAATAGACACAATAATGTTCCAATTCATGATTTCTAAAAATTGAAGTATAAAGTTCTGCTCAGATAAACCTGATAATTACGAAAATCTTTCCAGTGATTAACTTATAAAATAGGGTAAGAATTGTAATTCCGATAACTCAAAAATTTTGTCTGAAGTATTTGTCTTTATTGAGAATTCATTCCTTTTGCAGAGGATACTAATGTTCTACCAATTTAAGTCCCACTTTGTTATCATGTCTAAATTTTTGAAATTATCATTAAAATATAGTATATCACTGTTTTCATCTCTAACTCGTGTAAGTCAGAGAGAGAGAGTACGTGTGTGTGTGTATTTAAAGTTCACTTCACTCAGAGAGGCAGGGAAGAAACATGACAGGAGACCACTTACTCTCGGTACAGAAACTAGTAAGGAGGCAATTTTCTTCTTGGCCTATGGTGACCTTTTTTGACTATGTTCCCTACACCAGAGAGAGTGTACTGAATGCCTCTATTTCACCCTGTTTAGCAGAGTGCAACAGTGTTCTTTAACTTACTTTTGGTGGGAGGAGAAGTTATAGCTGAAATTTGAGAAGGGCGTGAAAAGTTGTAAGAGGCACAAGGAAGAGGGGTAGGAATTCCTTCAAATGTGATTTTAATAACTAGTCAAGTGTGTCCAACTGTAGAAAATCACCAAGTGACAATCTGTCTACCTGACAGTGATCACAATGAATTACAAGACTTTTGAATAGCTATACAGATTAGAATAAAGCAGGACCAAATAAAATATCTTTTGTTGGTAAAACTTTGTTTTACCAGCTAAGAAACTTAAAAAAAAAAAAAAGCCTTCTCTGTGCTTTGATGTAGAACGTTTAAATTTAAAGTCTTGTAAAGTATTTTATAAGGCTTTCATGAAAGAGGTATGTATCTAAAAGTTCTATTCAAACATATATTGAAGAATATGTGGGATATTGTTAATCAATTTGGTACACATTATGTAGTTTTCATGTATGTAAGACAACTATATCTTAATTAACAGTCCTATCACTAAAATCAGAATTTAAATGATCTTCAAAGTCTCTAAACCATGGTTTTAGACAATAATATCTCTTGAGGAAGGGGGGTAGAGTTGAAAGGATCCCAGTGAAGTTTGTACTTGGTTTGTGAAATCAGCTGTTAAAAAAAAAAACAAGTACATGCAACAATATAGCATACTTAAAAATAAGATAGTTGAGTCTATGCTATTATTACTGCTATCAGTTTTTTAAAATCATCTTATATATTAGTTTGGCAAAAATGTAATTTCAAACGAAGTAGAAGATTCTACAGTTTTGGAAATGTATTTACTTATTTTTTTTTTTTTTTTTTTTTTTTTTTTTTTTAGTAAGGATGATTTGTTAAAGTTTTATGTTTTGTAGCTCTGATGTTTTTATCACAGTATAATACATGTTTTAGGTATGACCTTACAGGATTGTGCAAGGCAAAATTGGGACACCCACAGAACAGAATTGAATAGAAAAGACAAGATACATAATTCTTTCAAAAATGTGTGTTGTGCATGCTTGTCAGTGGTAATTGTTTACCCTTCTCTATTTTCTCATGGTAGAATATTCCATGAGTTCTAACAATATAAATACCAAAGTTTTCTTAATGATAACCATAGAAGTGTTTGCCTTGCTAGCATTAAATCAGACAGGGAAATATGCTTTTAAAATGTTTAGAAGGCTTAATAGCTCAATAAGCTGTATTTTAAATTTTGAAACTTGTTTCCTTGTATTAGTTCTTTATGAAAAGAGATTTTTATGGTAGTTAAAAAATCTAAAAGAAAGCAATTTCAGGGTTAAAGTGTTGCTGCCATACATTACACTAAGATTAATTTATTTTGTTTTATGATTTGTGTGGCTTTCTGAAAGAAGAGAGGGGGAAAAATCCAAGGGACAGAGATAGACACTATATGTATATGTTTATGACAATATACATATTATAATATACATAAATATTAGGTTATATTATTCCTTTTTACCATTCAAACAAAAAATGCTTACTGAATCACAAATTGTAAAGGAAAGAAAAATCCAACAAAATGCCATTTGAATCTTGAACTTCAATTTCAAAGAGGTTATTTTCTCAAAGTATATATTATAAATATTAATGTCGTTTGAAAGTGTACTTTTAATTCACAGTTTATTTCAATTATTTTTAGGGTTCTAGAAGATCTGAAGTACCTTTTAAACATTTTAAACTTTATAATCTTTATGTTAAAATTACGTCTTTTCTTCTTATAATAATGTATGGTTATTTACATAAACAACCCAGGCAAACAATTTTATACACCTTTCTTTTGGAAAAATTAAAACTATAATCTTTTATGAAGAAATGTTTTAATGAATATACAAATATATTAAATAAAATGGAATTTTAAAGAAACTTTTATGAATTGGTTTCTAGGATTAAATTAAGCTGTCTTTTCTTTCTAAACAGGAAGGATATGGAGTAATAGTTTTGAATCCCAATGAAAACTATATTGAAGTAGAAAAGCCGAAGATACATGTACAGTCATCTTCTGATAGTTCAGATGAACCAGCAGAAAAACGGGAAAGAAAAGATAAAGTCTCTAAAGAAACAAAGAAGCGACGTGATTTCTATGAGAAGTATCGTAACCCTCAAAGAGAAAAAGAAATGATGCAGTTGTATATCAGAGTAAGTAATAAGTAAGATCATTACTTTTCTTCATTATTTTCCTATGTTTACTTCATATAAATTATTTTTTGAAAGAAGCTGTTAATTCCTTAATTTTTAACCATTTATTTTTCATGGGTGCTACTTTTTAATGTTTCTGCTTTTTAAATCAAAATTACAAACACATTATTTTTATATCAGTGTGATAGTTTATATAAGTCTCAAAAGCAGTTAATAATGAACTGCACGAAACATCAGTCTTCATCTCGGGTGGTGATAGTTTTAATGTGTTGTTTTTCTACAAGCAACCACCCATCCACCGTGTCTCAGCTTAACTTCTGTGGGTAGATAGTGGTGGGAAGAGTAATTAATATCTTAATAAATATTTAAGCTAGAATATTTGGGGATAGTGTAGTAAGGGAACTCTGTCATTTGCTTTTTTCTTGCCCCGTGAACCTTTGCACTTTGTAATGCTAGCAGCATGAAATCGTTACAGCAGTACTGCCCAAGGAGTTCTAATTCTGCAGGGGGCACAAACAATTTTATTTGCACTTTGACACATTCTGCTTGATATACACTGTGTATTATATATATGAAACAGACTCATGCAGTTTTCAAAGCCCTTTTTATGGATTCTAGAAATATAATTTAATAGTAAAGCATGTAAAAAATGCTACAGGGTATGTAAAATAGTAAATTGATAGGTTCTTCCAAAGTGAACAATTCAGAACATTTAAACATATATAATTAACATTTTATAAATTATACAATAAGATAGTATTAAAGTTTGAGATTATTCAGCTTGAGCTATTTTTACATTTACTTCAAAAGCTCATTAATAAACTATTTTATACTACCTTTCACGGGAAATACATGGCTTTCAAAGTTATTCTCTTGAATATACTTCTAGTTCAAGGCATAATCACTATACGTCTGAGAATGGTACTCAAAGTATTCAAGACATTTGATTATATGTCAGTCTGTTGAGTAAGTTATGACATGTAAATAGTAGTGAAAGCCACGTATCAATTCTCAAAACCCCAAAACGTGTTCTTGACCAAGAGTACCCAAAGCACATCAAACAATGAGCCAAGAGTAAGTTTTGCAGATTATAATATTTAAATTTCTGAAAAGCATCTTGTTAATTAATATATTATTGGGGTGGGGGAGCAGTTAGACTTGGAATCAGTAAGGAGCTTGCTTTTCCTAATGCAGTTATGTTACTGCCTTTCTTCCTGTGACTGCATCAGGGTCATATCTCCTTCTCTATCGATTGTCCTCAGCTTTTTGTTATATGATCCAGTCTATCAACCACTATCTGAAGGCAGACTTTTATAAAAACTGTCTCTGATATCCAAATCCCAAATGCAGATTATGTAAGGTTTATGAAATATAGAAATCATTATGAGTATGCACTTGCTTATGTGAAATGCACAGAAAGTGATTTTGGGTATTGTTTTTTATTTCTTCTTATACAGTTTCTTTTATTTGCCTATGATATGTACAGATTAAGCATCTATGTCTGACATCTGTCTAGTAGGTTTTATCTCTTCTTTTCTATTTTGTCTTTATCTTGTCGCCATTGCTTTGATTTTTTCTTTGTTCTCTTGTATGTGTGCATTTTCTTTATTCTGTTTTTCACATCTGTTTAGTTTATCCCAGCATCGATTTTTTTTTCTTACACCAAGTGGCAATATCTTTTTATGTTGCTTCATTGTTAAGATTTGCTCTCTTTCCCTTTGTCATTTTCTTTAATTCTTTTATCTCTTTTACACTTCTGCCATTTTTACTTCTTTCCTTATTATGTCTTTTTGCCTCTTTCTTTCTTTTCCCATTTCATTTAACAGTCTAGGTTTCTATTAAAAGGGCTAAAAGACAGAAATAGTCTCATGTAAGTAACACAGCTTTATACTTGATAGTCTTAGTTACGAAAAATGTTATTTTTCTTAATAAATACCTTATCTCCTAGAATTGTGTAAAGTAACAGAGTTAAGCTGATAGCTTTAAACATACTTCTATGTAGTAAGGCATGATCTTATAGTAGGAACGAGAGGAATGCTTCATTTTGTATATAGGGCTAATATTCGTGGGTAATTTTGATCCACTTGAGAAGTAAGTTTTTCTAGTACTCTTCTTCTGTCTACGTAGCTCCAAATAACAAGGGTTTGTAATTTTCATACACAAAACATGGCATGTGATGGGGATAAATTAACTTTTATTTATATATAAACATTTACATTAGAAATTTATCATTTATTCTTTGAAACAACTCTGTGAGCTAGGTGGATCAAATAATTTTATCCTTATTTTATAGTTAAGGAAACTGATGCACAGATGGTCCATTTTTGTCTAGGATCATATAACTAATAAAATGGTAGAACTAAGTTTTAAAACCAGGGCTTCTAATTAATGTACATTCTTGCTCCCTTCCTTTTTTACTAAATTGTTCTAACTGTTTGAAAACAAAATATGTTTCTGAAATATGAAAACTAAACCAATTGTAATGAAATCCTGATATGATATAGTAATACATGTGATGATTATATAGATTTTTTAAACCAATTATCACTTAATAGACACTATTAAATGTCTATAAACAATTTATATGTAATATATTTATAATATAGAAATAATAAATAAATTGTATTATATTAAAATATGTTTTCTTTTTTAATAGAATCACTAATATTGATTTAATTTTACAGATGAGGAAACTTTTGATCAAAACTCAGTTTCATGAGAGCAGGCACTTACTCTGTTTTGCTGATTGCCACATCCCCAGAGCCTAGAACAGAGCCTTCATAATGAATATTTATAGAGTAGGACCTTCACAATAAATTCTTAGTTAATAATGTGTTGGAGCCAGGATTAAAATCCCAAACCATTATTTTTTTTTAATATAGATATATTTTATTGATTTTTTACAGAGAGGAAGGGAGAGAGATAGAGAGTTAGAAACATCGATGAGAGAGAAACATCGATCAGCTGTCTCCTGCACATCTCCTACTGGGGATATGCCCGCAACCAAGGTACATGCCCTTGACCGGAATCGAACCTGGGACCTTTCAGTCCGCAGGCTGACGCTCTATCCACTGAGCCAAACCGGTTTCGGCCCATTACTGCTTTTTAAAATATGCTCTGCATTATTAAAGTATGCTACATGATTGCTCCCCGATCTAGTGGCTTAGAATAAATTCTAAAAATTAATGGTAAAAAGTATGTCAAGATATATTTGATACCTTGATTGATCTATACATTTTCATCTGAATATATAAAAGTTGGATATTCTGTTTTCCTTTTTATCTACATCACCTTGGTGCTAAAATTATGGATGAAAATGGGAATATTTTATTCTGACCTACTGCTATTTCTGTTTTACACACTTGCCGATAAGAATACAGGCAGACTGCTGTACTTGTACCCTCTATACACTTTGTGCTTTCTGGGATCTGTAACTTTGCTTCCTATTACTGCTCTTAATCCGATTCTATCCATCTTATAGTTCCAAGCTGATATCCCACATTCTCCACTCACCATAATCAGTGACCTCTCCTTAATATGATTCTTGGAAGTTATTATGTTTAGTTAACTTATATGGAATTTGTCATGTGCTATCTTAAAACATTGTCTTTGTCTCATAATATTATTAATATTACCAATTTATTTTTCATGCCTTCCCGCTAGATCTTCCCAGAACTCTCTAGATCTTTGAGCATGCTTTATAGATTTTGGAATTGCATGTCAATCCCTATGGAGAAGTAGATATGAGCCAGTTTTCACACTAGTACAGAGCATACTGTGAGGAAGTGAGGAACTGATACTACACCCACACTTAGAATCCAATCCCCTGAAAGGAGACCAGAACAAAAAGACTAGGCTTTACTCTAGCGATACCTAGATAGTGTGACCGGCAGCATAGGAATAAGGGTTATTCTGGCATCAAACGGGACCATAGAAAGACAAGTACTCCAACTAAGAAAGAAGACCAATTAGAAGAATTTTATAGTTTGTATTCCATATAGGTGGATATACCCAAAAGTGATTTGAGGCCAATCTATGAAATACTGGGTTAAAACTTTTTTATTGTCTCTTCCCTAAGAGTCTTAGTTGTGGGCTATGGTGATGGGAAGTAGAGAAGGAGGATGATTAGACCAGAGCATTTTTTTTTTAAATGCTTGAAGTGGAGGAGGGGGAGGAAATTATATGGCCACACAAGGAAAAATTCAGATGTGGAGGAGACATTCACAGAATAGGAATCTTGGCAGAGCCTGGCATTACACATTGAAGATACTCAAATATTTATGAATTGATTGCTTGTTGACATCCATCACAAAAATCTTATTCCTTAACATGCAAGATATGTGGTGTCTAGTTTTCTGACGGATTTTTTTCAGGATTCATGTGAATTTTTGCAATTGTTCAGAAACAGCTAACTCCAATAAACTGAAGCTTTCTTTTAAAAAAATATGTTTTTGATATTCTGACTTGGGTTATGTCCAAAATATTGGTGAAGGCTGATAAATATCTTTTCTTCTCCTCTCTGCCTCTTCTCTTCTGTGCTAATGCCACTGGAGTACTTTCTACCTGATGTTTTTGCAACGAAATTCAATTTATTTATATTACAATAATGATTGTTTAACCTCTGGGACCATTTTTATTGTCCTAGTATATACAAGTATTTGAATTTTCTTTTTTTCTGGAATTCAGTAAATAGCCAAAATCTCTTTTCAAAATTTAGCAAATATCTAGTATGTACAGAAAGAAGTAAAGTAGAATCCAGGTCTAAAATCTTACGATTAGCAAAGTATAATTTTATTTTACTTACAAAATGAGTATAAATAGATATGACTCACTATTGGATTATATTGCACATTTCTAATGTCTTAGGAGCAATGCTTGAGAGATCGAAGTACCTACTGTTTCATGTGACAACTTTCCTTAAATATGAAAAAATGTACTTTCTGGCATATATTATGGCTTAATAAGGGGATTGCTTTGGTCTAGGCAATAAACATCATGTC